CTCTGATATTCACTGATTTTCGTCGATGAGCCAAGGCTGAATGTTAGATAATAGAAGAAGTCACGAGGTTGGATGTACTTAACCACAGTCCGCGTTACAGAATTCAGCCGAACGTCCACTTTATCGGTGTAGTCATTCTTTGACCAAACTGGTACATAGTATTCTTCTGTAGGAAAGACAAAGGCAGGATCAAAGATTATAAGAAATGCATCTGCATGATGTTTGCATGTGATGTGTTTTTTTGCCACAACCTTGCATACAGGGCCCGCCAAGAATAATGCCATGACATTTTTGGTTTTGTTTGGTGCCTACAGAATGTTGTACTAGTAAACTTGTTCGACTTTTGTTGAGATGGAATGTACACAAAACGGTTTTGCTGGAGTTTGGCTGTAGTTGTTACGTATGGAAATGGCCTTCTATATTAACGACGCCAAAGGTCAGTGATTTCTTGATTTGTCGGAAACTTTGGGCTCTGATCGACAGAGCCGGATTTTTCAGATATTGTTCCATACATATTGTTCATGTACACATCGAACGGAGATGGTAAAAGAACTAATCCCGTGGTACCAGCCCCGTTTTTCAGAATTCATCGCTTGCTAATCTGGTTTTAGACGAGACTTCTGTTCTACTCTGTTAAAAGGAAAAGAACGTTTGTAACTGTTTGAAGGTTATTCTTTCTTTCATGATGGGCCATATCTGGCCCTTCTTTTCATGAAGAAACGGCGTTGAACTCCATTTGCGTCACATCTGTTACGAGTACCTTATTTTAAAGGCAGAGTCGGCAGCAACTTTGTTGCAATCATAGTGTGTAATCTCGTGTTTCTTTCCGACCCAGTGGTACTCATGAACCTCAGAAGGAGGAAAACACGAGTACCCTGACCGAAGTTCGAATAACACCAGATTTGGATTAATGATAAAAGAGTCCATTCATACTCTGGTTCGAAGACACTAGCATTTTTCATCGAACACCTCATCCTTCGATATAAATCAGATTTTGGCTTTAATCAGTACTCTATTAAGTCATAGATTTTAGGACCTGAATTAAGTGACACACAAGTGTCACACGGGATTAAGTGGTTAATCATTCATTATTGTTCACAACGCTGATTTCAAATCCGTTTCATTCGGTCCTGATTCCTTAGCCGGTATGGATATGAAGGGCGTTTTCTCATACGTAAATCGTTTTCATTGTAACATTCTTAAATTGTCAGTTTTCTTAAAGATTCCATCCTTCAGATGTAAGGCATTACTCATTAATATGAAAATCGTCTTTAAACAGGGTCTCTACCTTAGGATCTCATCTACGGGGCACCAATCGGTAAGCCAGTGAGTAATCGTTGTCATGTGACGCTGGTGTACGAACACGACGATAAGCATACGCAAGAGTTCACTCGAATTGTGAACGGCTCTTCTGCGGAGTACCGAATCGACGGCAAGGTAATTGGTGTTTTCTTTACTGTTACTCCGTTTTTGTCTTTTTTCTTTCACTGCCATAGCTTATTCGTTAGATTATCAACGCTACACAGTACAACCAAGCCCTCGAAGCGATTAACATCTTTATCCGGGCGAAAAACTTTCTCGTCTTTCAAGGTGCTATGGAAAACATCGTAATGAAAACGCCTCGCGAAAGAACTTATCTCTTTGAGGAAATTTCTAAGTAAGTAGAGGTCATCAAAGATCATAGCTTGTTGTACTCGTCTCCTCAGGCTAATCTCAAAAATAACTTCATTACCGATGTTCTGCTGAGGAAAGGAAATGAAGGTTTATCACCGTTGGATTATCAGTCTTGCTTCACTTTCATAACAAGGTCATTTTGGCGTCCTTCTTTTCACGAAGTTCATGGCGCAGTATTGTTCGTTTCTGTGTCATTATCCAGAAGTGTCTTATTTTTTAAAGGCTGTCTACAGCTGTGGCAGGCGTAGCGTGTAGTCCCCTGTTTCCTTCTCATAGATTTGTGCTCACTTATCAACCTCGAGGGATTAACTACTAGTGACCCTTATTGACGCTCGAACTCATGACCTATCGGATCTGAGTTCGATGCTCTACCCATTTTGCAGCCCCGTTCTCCTGCAGACTTAAGATTGATTGGCTTCACGTTCGATCGATGTCTGACGTGGGGCTGCGTTTCGGTGAAATTGAACATGTACTGGTTGAACAAAATCTCCAGATAATCCTGTTCTTCAGCATAGGTAAATGAAAATAAAATTTGTTCACTTTACGTTGTAGGCTGATAGTCATGCAGATAATACAGATATAAAGCAGCAAACCGACCCGTGGACAAATTTTTTCTAATACAGTTTCTTTGCTGCAAGCATGCACCATAAAAGATGAGTCAAATTTTCGTTGTTCAAAACTTTACAGTGGTACCATTCTTTTCTGTTATTAATATTTGACTTGCTGCTCTTAGTTACTAGTTTTATTTTCATATTAAAGCTAAAATTTCGAGGCTAATAAAAAAATTCGGAAATCTCTTGTCCTCAAGGCACCTGGCACTGGTGCTCAGTTGTTCTTTAAGATTTAAAACTGATAATATATTGCCTACTTCGTTGTGGCCGCTTTTTCCAAATCCGTGTGGAAGTTTAGAACTTTTACAGGGTTACCAAACAATCCTGCTTTTCAGCATAGAGAAGAAAAAATTTTTAAAATTAAATGCGGAAAATTCAGATAAAATCAATTATGAACAAAACTGTTAACAAGCCATAGCTGATCCAGTGGTCGATAATTGCTTGACTGCAGTTGCAACAGCTAATTTAATTTCCAGTTGACTTTAGCAATGACCTGTAATGATTATTTCGCATGATGGACTTCGCGCGCCTTGACCAAATTTCGAACCAGCTACTGCTTTTTGATATTTTGTAGTATGCAGTCCCTGTGTCGCAATTCTCTCTTCAGGAGTTGCGATGTTTTCGAATCGGTTGTGTGAGAGATAAGTAATCACGCAACCTCGTAATTCCTGATTCAAATTGTTCACGGTCATATTCCCTGTTTATTTCGCAGCCCACTCGCCTATCCAGGGTTGATCAGTCGTCGAATTTCTTAGGCTGCAAATCGAATGACTTGTCGTGCCATTTTTCAGGTCTGGCGAATTGAAGGAAAGCTACGAACTGGCGAAAACCGAGATGCTGAAGGCTGAAGAAGACGCGCAGTTCAATTACCACAAACGACGAGGCATTGCCGCTGAGAAAAAGGAAGCAAAACTGGCGAAAGATGAGGCAGAAAAGTACCAGAAGTTGAAGGACAAACTCGTAATGCTTCCGGAAGCAGAATCGCTTATCTGAAAATAAAAAGCGAAATCATATGCATAAATGTATCCATCCTCTTGTAGGCCATAATGCAACTTAAATATCATCTTTTCCTACTGTATCATAACGAGCGCGAAATTGCCGTTATCAAATCCGAGTGTGACGCGAAGCAGGCGGAATTACAGAGCATCAGCAAAAAGCTGAGCAAAGTAGAAGAGACGTTAAAGGAGAAAAAACGAAATCAAGGTTTGGTCGCCCGCGAAATGAGCGTACTCGAGCAGCAGCAGCACGAGCTGGTATATTTTAGTTTATTTTGTTACAACATCATAGTATAGGTTTATATGCCAGAGTATTTGACGTAACTTCTCCAGAGTTGGATCTCGTGACATATTGCACCCTCTCATTGCTCGTAGTTTTCAATTGGAGTGGGCGCTCAAGTAGGTTTCGACTTCATTGCTTTTATCATCTGCGATGCTAGTGCATCTCGTTACGTTATTCTGTTCACTTCAATAACCTGATGCCAGTCATAAACAATTTTTCCGAGTCTGGGACCACCCCTTATTTCCCACTATATAAACATACGCACAGTGCGTTCGTGTACTGCATTTTCCTTACAGCATACAAGTGGACATTATTGCCGCATCGTAAACTTAACGAATGAAGGATGTCGCACATGGAACCCAGTCATAAAAATTAGACGAGGACTGTCATCCCTACAGTCACACAGTTTCTTTTTTTTTTATGTTCATTATTGTCTGGAGTTGCATTTTAACTTGCATTGTACGCGCAAGAACCACAATTGTCTGTCATATACGAAAATCCTTTTGGCGGAGTTAAGTTTGTATTAACATCTATGTAATGAGTATTCGATTTTGAAGCTTCTTTGATGATTAACACCATCTTGTTCTGGTCGTTCACATCATATCAGATGTGCTTATGGAGTACGTGTACTGAAATGGCATGTTCTGTACCTACTAAGATAGTTCACTTTCATATCTAATAGCAGGTAATCGCTGCCATAGCACCGTCAAACCTGATTTGATGAAGTAACACTGGTATTTGTTCAAGTATATTAAGTTGTAGCGTTATCCTTGTTATATCATGTCCCTGAATCCAGCTTGATCAGAAACGCCAGGATTCATTTTAATAAAATTTGTATACGATGATAATGTTTTGACAGTTATTACGATCAAGAACTTTCCACTCTCATAAAGAATTCAAGTAATACCTTTAAAACTGATGACGTACAGCACTGTAATTCCATCTAAAATATGTAGTTATATAAAGGTTCCCACTTCTGAAACAGTGATGACGCGGCAATCATAACAGTCCTGAGATGAAGCGAGTTATAGATGCATTACAAGTCCTATAGTCGACTTAAATCCTTCCTTAGATATTTATGAGAAGGGAAGTGTAATAAGTGTTTGCAATATGTAGTACGTACAGTAATATGCACTATGTCGTAAAGTATGTATCAGTGTATTAACTTATGATTACAGGTACTTCTACAGTGTGAATGAATGTCTGCTTCAGGTATAATAGATACATGTAATGTATCAAGTGAAACGAGTACCTGTCCTGCCCTACTGAATTTATAATCTATGACTAGCCAAATGTTTGAAGGCTGTAAATGAATATCTGTAGCGGTGTATGCATAGTCTGCATTGTTTCACAGCAAATTACCTATAGTCCATGCATGTGTAATACAGATTGTTTCTCACTCTTTGATTTCGTTTCATGCATCTATTTTTCTAAGTTCCTGTTTTACTTTAGGATGCCGAAATTGGTCGAAAACGCCCTGGTTTTATTAAGGTGAAGGAAAATCTAAAGCATGCTGAAAGGAAGGTGGAAATCATCATCAAGAGTTTGGCCAGCGAAACGCGTAACGTCGAGAGGCAGCGCAAGTTGATCACAGAGTTAGAGAAGCAATTGGCTGATTTAATGAGCGAACGTGAGAAGTTTGAAATTACGTTGCGCAGAGAGTCGCAGACCCAGGGTCTGCAACTTGATGAGGAACAGGTAATTAACTTTTGGCTAATAAGATTCTTGTTTTGAGTTGTATATCGTCGTTTGGTCATGGCTGGTCTAAATTACTGATTGTTTTGCTCTTTAATGTTTTTGTTCAGTTTTGACAAGCCAGTGTTGGTATCAGCAGATCTGGTAGTACTTTTACCATCTATCTGATTCATTTTCCTCGAGACTTCTGGTTACCAGTGAAGCTGGTCATATTACTCTTGCTTATTTCTTAAATAACATGTTGTCCGTTTCAAACGAGACAGTCATCGTTTTACCTTATTAAAAGATTTGATGGTGCTATATATGTAACTATGCGGGATATTTACTCTTGTCCGGGTCACTAATCAGAATCTGCGTTTCTTAAAAGATTGTTCTTCAAATCTCAATTACCACTTCCTTCCACCCTCTCTACCATTATTTAGGGATTCACGACAGACCATTACGTTTTTCTTCGTGATTGCAGGAAATATATTTTGAATATATTTCATCTTGACAGTGCATATTCGCGTAAAAGTTTGTTTCGGTGCTACTTATTTTTTGTAAAGTGCGCTTTTTTAGCTGTCAGAGTACAATCGACTGAAGGGCGAAGTTCTGAAGCAGTCCGCGGCCATTCAGCAGGAAATGGACATGTTAAATCGTGAACAGCTTATGGACAAGGAACTGATAGAAAACGATGGACGCCGGCAGTCTGAACTACAACAAAGAATCAAACAAAAGGAGCTGGAACTGGAAACCACTAGAAAGCGAGTCGAGAAACTGAACGATTCGATACAGTAAGACTGTGATTGAGATTTTCAAGTTTTTCATTCCGTTTATAGGCAGACACAGCTTCAAGTGCAAGAGCAGCAACAGCTTTACAGCATTACCGAAGAGGAAGTGAAAAACGCAAAATGTCAGCTCGAGAAACTGACTCTCGAGGTCGAGCAGATTACAAATCAGCTAAACGAGGCGAACGTGGACACCTCGGAGTCTTCAAGACTGCTAAAGAAACAGGAGCTGGTCGAGAATCTGAAAAGAATTTCCACCGGAACAATCGTGGGTTTTATTGCTGTAACATCTTATATTAGCTATGGTGATTTTCGTTACTGTTTCTAGAAAGTAGCAATTAACATTCAACGTTAATAGATGATCTGCATTGCCAGAGGCAGAGAAAGTTTTAAGAAATTAACTGAATGCGGCTTTACGATCATATTGTCTGCTGTAATGAAAGCAGTGCTGGAATAAAATTCGATGCCAAAGGAATTAATTCCCAGTCTTATTAGCAACCACTGATCTGAAAACGTGGCAAAAATCATACCATTGAACCGTGGGTGTCAGTGCCTCTAATGTTTTTAGAGTCCAGCACTGTCTAAACCACGGAATAACATTTCGATTGCAAATGACGATAGAGTGTTTTTCATTGTAACCTTCCGTGAAGCTTCTTTCTCATTGATCTATTTTCCTTTCATCTGAGTTGGTAGATTATATAGCTGATCTGTTTGAAAAACGGTCCCCCTGATCACATACCCAAATTAAATGATCAGAATTGTTCTCCTGCATATATTCAAGTAGAAGATAGCAGACGCTACTCGACTTTTTGAATGTATGGAGCGATAGGAATCCAGTGGCTCCGAAGTGGATCACATCCTTGCTTTGCGCTCAAGACGTAGATTATGAACTTCAGCAAGTTTCGTAGTATAATACAGACTGGCTGTGACAGAAGTGGATCTCCACTTAAGACCCACGAATAATTGTATGAATCTGCAACTTGCAGTACAAAGTTTTTTCGGTTACAGTTATTGCATTGTATAGCCGGTTCATACTTCATACCTTTGTTATGCATGCATCACGAATGCAAATCGACGCTGCTCTGAGGTTTCTGTTCTTCATTCTCTGCTGCCGCTGTTGGTAAAATAGTCTTACGTCCGGCTTGTTGTAAAGTGACCAGGTGGAAATTTGTGGTCCAGCGGAATTCTGTTTAAGATTTTTCATGTCCCCGGTTGTTGCTCATGGGAACCACATGGCTGACGCATCTTCTTCGGGCGGCGTTGAAGGCAAGGCGACATTGCATCTTTTGTCGAATTTACGATCTTGGAACATGGTTACTTAGTACTGCCTTCCACATTTTTTGCTACATCGCTGTTTG